CACCTTCTCTTGTATGGCCTGTGACCGCTCGTACAGCGGCTCGGCCTCAACGTACTTGCCCTGTCGTTCAGTCGTACTGCATGCCAGGGCAGGTATGTTGAGGTCGAGCCACTGCTCGAGGGGTGATGAACCATCACAGATAAAGTGCTAGATCCGGAACACCGTGATGTGACTACGGTGCTCAAATTGTCCAAAACCAACCTGATTAGCCAGCAACAACGTTTCTTGAGCACCGTGGCCACGTCAGGATGCTCCGGACCTAGCACCTTCTCTGTTATGGCCTGTGACTGCTCATACCGTGGCTCGGGCTCAGCGTACTTGCCCTGGCATGCAGTACGGACTGAAAGCCAGGGCAAGTGATTTGAGACGGGAGCAGGTGTTCGAGCGGTCATAGGCCATACTAGATAAGTTGCTAGGTCCGGAGCACCGTGATGTGACCACGGTGCTCAAATTGTCTGCAACTCACCTGATTGACCAAGAATTAACGCAAGTTTCTTGAGCACCGTCGCAAGTCAGGATGCTCTGGACTAAGCACCTTCTCTTGTATGGCCTGTGACCGCTCGTACAGCGGCTCGGCCTCAACGTACTTGCCCTGTCGTTCAGTCGTACTGCATGCCAAGGCAGGTATATTGAGGCCTAGCCACTGCTCGAGGGGTGATGGACCATCACAGATAAAGTGCTAGATCCGGAACACCGTGATGTGACTACGGTGCTCAAATTGTCTGCAACTCACCTGATTAGCCAGCAACGACGCTCGTCTCTGGAGCACCGTCGCAAGTCAGGTTGCTCTGGACCAATCACCTTCTCTGTCATGGCCTGTGACCGCTCGTACAGCGGCTCGGCCTCAACGTACTTGCCGTGTCGTTCAGTCGTACTGCATGCCAAGGCAGGTATATTGAGGCCTAGCCACTGCTCGAGGGGTGATGGACCATCACAGGTAAAGTGCTAGATCCGGAACACCGTGATGTGACNCGTTTGTTGAGCGCCGTCGCAAGTCAGGTTGCTCTGGACCAAGCACCTTCTCTTGTATGGCCTGTGACCGCTCGTACAGCGGCTCGGCCTCAACGTACTTGCCCTGTCGTTCAGTCGTACTGCATGCCAGGGCAGGTATATTGAGGTCGAGCCACTGCTCGAGGGGTGATGGACCATCACAGATAAAGTGCTAGATCCGGAACACCGTGATGTGACTACGGTGCTCAAATTGTCCAAAACCAACCTGATTAGCCAGCAACAACGTTTCTTGAGCACCGTGGCCACGTCAGGATGCTCCGGACCTAGCACCTTCTCTGTTATGGCCTGTGACTGCTCATACAGTGGCTCGGGCTCAGCGTACTTGCCCTGGCATGCAGTACGGACTGAAAGCCAGGGCAGGTACCTTGAGGCCGAGCCACTGCTCGAGCGGTCATAGGCCACAACAGATAAGGTGCTAGGTCCGGAGCAATGTGATGTGGCCACGGTGCTCAAATTGTCTGCAACTCACCTGATTAGCCAGCAACAACGCTCGTCTCTGGAGCACCGTCGCAAGTCAGGTTGCTCTGGACCAATCACCTTCTCTGTCATGGCCTGTGACCGCTCGTACAGCGGCTCGGCCTCAACGTACTTGCCGTGTCGTTCAGTCGTACTGCATGCCAAGGCAGGTATATTGAGGCCGAGCCACTGCTCGAGGGGTGATGGACCATCACAGGTAAAGTGCTAGATCCGGAACACCGTGATGTGACTACGGTGCTCAAATTGTCAAAAACCAACCTGATTAGCCAGCAACAACGTTTCTTGAGCACCGTGGCCACGTCAGGATGCTCCGGACCTAGCACCTTCTCTGTTATGGCCTGTGACTGCTCATACAGTGGCTCGGGCTCAGCGTACTTGCCCTGGCATGCAGTACGGACTGAAAGCCAGGGCAGGTACCTTGAGGCCGAGCCACTGCTCGAGCGGTCATAGGCCACAACAGATAAGGTGCTAGGTCCGGAGCAATGTGATGTGGCCACGGTGCTCAAATTGTCTGCAACTCACCTGATTAGCCAGCAACAACGCCCGTTTGTTGAGCGCCGTCGCAAGTCAGGTTGCTCTGGACCAAGCACCTTCTCTTGTATGGCCTGTGACCTCTCGTACAGTGGCTCGGCCTCAGCGTCCTTGCCCTGGCATGCAGGACGGACTGCATGCCAGGGCAAGCACATTGAGGCCGAGCAGGTGTTCGAGCGGTCACAGGCCAAACCAGAAAAGGTGCTAGGTCCGGAGCACCGTGATGTGGCCACGGTGCTCAAATTGTCTGCAACTCACCTGATAAGTCAACAATTAACGCCATAACTTGAGCACCGTTGCCACATCAGGATGCTCCGGACCTAGCACCTCTTCTGGTATGGCCTTTGACCGCTCGTAGAGTGGCTCGGCCTCAGCGTCCATGCAGGACGGACTGCATGCCAGGGCAAGCACATCGAGGCCGAGCAGCTGTTCGAGCGGTCACAGGCCAAACCACACAAGGTACCATATCCGCAGCACCGTGATGTGGCCACGGTGCTCAAATTGTCTGGAACTCACCTGATTAGCCAGCATCAACGCCCATACCTTAAACGCCGTCGCAAGTCAGGTTGCTCTGGACCAAGCACCTTCTCTTGTATGGCCTGTGACCGCTCGTAGAGTGGCTCGGCCTCAGCGTCCTTGCCCTGGCATGCAGGACGGACTGCATGCCAGGGCAAGCACAATGCGGTCGAGCAGGTGTTCGAGCGGTCGCAGGCCAAACCAGACAAGGTACTAGATCCGGAGCACCGTGATGTGGCCACGGTGCCCAACTTGTCTGCAGCTCACCTGATTAGCCAGCAACCACGCCCGTTTCTTGAGCACCGTCGCCCGTCAGGTTGCTCTGGATCGTGCACCTTCTCTTGTATGGCTTGTGACAGCTCGTAGAGTTGCTCGGCCTCAGCGTCCTTGCACTAGCATGCAGGACGGACTGCATGCCAGGGCAAGCACAAAGCGGTCGAGCAGCTGTTTGAGCGGTCACAGGCCAAACCAGAAAATGTGCTAGATCCGGAGCACCGTGATGTGGCCACGGTGCTCAAACTGTCTGCAACTCACCTGATTAGCCAAGGAATAACGCCCGTTGCTTGAGCACCGTCGCATGACAGGTTGCTCTGGGCCAAGCACCTTCTCTTGTATGGCCTGTGACCGCTCGTAGAGTGGCTCGGCCTCAGCGTCCTTGCACTAGCATGCAGGACGGACTGCATGCCAGGGCAAGCACAAAGCGGTCGAGCAGCTGTTTGAGCGGTCACAGGCCAAACCAGAAAATGTGCTAGATCCGGAGCACCGTGATGTGGCCACGGTGCTCAAACTGTCTGCAACTCACCTGATTAGCCAAGGAATAACGCCCGTTGCTTGAGCACCGTCGCATGACAGGTTGCTCTGGGCCAAGCACCTTCTCTTGTATGGCCTGTGACCGCTCGTAGAGTGGCTCGGCCTCAGCGTCCTTGCACTAGCATGCAGGACGGACTGCATGCCAGGGCAAGCACGAAGCGGTCGAGCAGCTGTTTCAGCGGTCACAGGCCAAACCAGACAAGGTACTAGATCCGGAGCACCGTGATGTGGCCACGGTGCTCAAACTGTCTGCAACTCACCTGATTAGCCAAGAAATAACGCCCGTTTCTTAAGCAGTGTCGCACGTCAGGTTGCTCTGAACCAAGCACCTTCTCTTGTATGGCCTGTGACCGCTCGTAGAGTGGCGCGGCCTCAGCGTCCTTGCCCTGGCATGCAGGACGGACTGCGTGCCAGGGCAAGCACAATGCGGTCGAGCAGGTGTTCGAGCGGTCGCAGGCCAAACCAGACAAGGTACTAGATCCGGAGCACCGTGATGTGGCCACGGTGCTCAAACTGTCTGCAACTCACCTGATTAGCCAGCAACAACGCCTGTTTCTTGAGCACCGTCGCCCGTCAGGTTGCTCTGGACCGTGCACCTTTTCTTGTATGGCTTGTGACCGCTCGTAGAGTGGCTCGGCCTCAGCGTCCTTGCACTAGCATGCAGGACGGACTGCATGCCAGGGCAAGCACAATGCGGTCGAGCAGCTGTTCGAGCGGTCGCAGGCCAAACCAGACAAGGTACTAGATCCGGAGCACCGTGATGTGGCCACGGTGCTCAAATTGTCTGCAACTCACCTGATTAGCCAGCAAAACGCCATGTCTGGAGCACCGTCGCATGTCAGGTTGCTCTGGACCAAGCACCTTTTCTGGTATGGCCTGTGACTGCTCGTAGAGTGGCTCGGCCTCAGCGTCCTTGCCCTGGCATGCAGGACGGACTGCATGCCAGGGCAAGCACAATGCGGTCGAGCAGCTGTTCGAGCGGTCGCAGGCCAAACCAGACAAGGTACTAGATCCGGAGCACCGTGATGTGGCCACGGTGCTCAAACTGTCTGCAACTCACCTGATTAGCCAAGAAATAGCGCCCGTTTCTTAAGCAGTGTCGCACGTCAGGTTGCTCTGAACCAAGCACCTTTCCTTGCATGGCCTGTGACCGCTCGTAGAGTGGCTCGGCCTCAGCGTCCTTGCCCTGGCATCCAGGACGGACTGCATGCCAGGGCAAGCACAATGCGGTCGAGCAGGTGTTCGAGCGGTCGCAGGCCAAACCAGACAAGGTACTAGATCCGGAGCACCGTGATGTGGCCACGGTGCTCAAATTGTCTGCAACTCACCTGATTAGCCAGCAACAACGCCTGTTTCTTGAGCACCGTCGCCCGTCAGGTTGCTCTGGACCGTGCACCTTTTCTTGTATGGCTTGTGACCGCTCGTAGAGTGGCTCGGCCTCAGCGTCCTTGCACTAGCATGCAGGACGGACTGCATGCCAGGGCAAGCACAATGCGGTCGAGCAGCTGTTCGAGCGGTCGCAGGCCAAACCAGACAAGGTACTAGATCCGGAGCACCGTGATGTGGCCACGGTGCTCAAATTGTCTGCAACTCACCTGATTAGCCAGCAACAACGCCCGTTTGTTGAGCGCCGTCGCAAGTCAGGTTGCTCTGGACCAAGCACCTTCTCTTGTATGGCCTGTGACCTCTCGTACAGTGGCTCGGCCTCAGCGTCCTTGCCCTGGCATGCAGGACGGACTGCATGCCAGGGCAAGCACATTGCGGTCGAGCAGCTGTTCGAGCGGTCATAGGCCGTACCAGAAAATGTGCTAGGTCCGGAGCACCGTGATGTGGCCACGGTGCTCAAACTGTCTGCAACTCACCTGATTAGCCAAGAAATAACGCCCGTTTCTTAAGCAGTGTCGCACGTCAGGTTGCTCTGAACCAAGCACCTTTCCTTGCATGGCCTGTGACCGCTCGTAGAGTGGCTCGGCCTCAGCGTCCTTGCCCTGGCATCCAGGACGGACTGCATGCCAGGGCAAGCACAATGTGGTCGAGCAGCTGTTCGAGCGGTCGCAGGCCAAACCAGACAAGGTACTAGATCCGGAGCACCGTGATGTGGCCACGGTGCTCAATTTGTCTGCAACTCACCTGATTAGCCAGCAAAACGCCCTGTCTGGAGCACCGTCGCATGACAGGTTGCTCTGGACCAAGCACCTTCTCTTGTATGGCTTGTGACTGCTCGTAGAGTGGCTCGGCCTCAGCGTCCTTGCCCTGGCATGCAGGACGGACTGCATGCCAGGGCAAGCACATTGCGGTCGAGCAGCTGTTCGAGCGGTCACAGGCCAAACCAGAAAAGGTGCTAGGTCCGGAGCACCGTGATGTGGCCACGGTGCTCAAATTGTCTGCAACTCACCTGATTAGCCAGCAACAACGCCCGTATCTTGAGCGCCCTCGCGAGTCAGGTTGCTCTGGACTAGGGACCTTCTCTTGTATGGCCTGTGACCGCTCGTAGAGTGGCTCGGCCTCAGCGTCCTTGCCCTAGCATGCAGGACGGACTGCATGCCAGGGCAAGCACAATGAGGTCGAGCAGCTGTTCGAGCGGTCATAGGCCGTACCAGAAAATGTGCTAGGTCCGGAGCACCGTGATGTGGCCACGGTGCTCAAACTGTCTGCAACTCACCTGATTAGCCAAGAAATAACGCCCGTTTCTTGAGCACCGTCGCAAGTCAGGTTGCTCTGGACCAAGCACCTTTTCTTGTATGGCCTGTGACCGCTCGTAGAGTGGCTCGGCCTCAGCGTCCTTGCCCTGGCATCCAGGACGGACTGCATGCCAGGGCAAGCACAATGAGGTCGAGCAGCTGTTCGAGCGGTCATAGGCCGTACCAGAAAATGTGCTAGGTCCGGAGCACCGTGATGTGGCCACGGTGCTCAAACTGTCTGCAACTCACCTGATTAGCCAAGAAATAACGCCCGTTTCTTGAGCACCGTCGCAAGTCAGGTTGCTCTGGACCAAGCACCTTTTCTTGTATGGCCTGTGACCGCTCGTAGAGTGGCTCGGCCTCAGCGTCCTTGCCCTGGCATGCAGTCCGTCCTG